AGTGTGTGTGTGTGTGTGTGTGTGTGTGTGAACATGTAAAATTAATATTACATGAATAATAAACTATACGTTTTTATAGAATGAAGAGAAAGCGTCTTACTTTAGAATTCTCAAAATATTTTTTATGCATTTCCTTAATATTAATCAATTTATCATGTTATTTTAAATATAAGAATGCTAAATTAAAATTATTAAAAATTAAAAATTTCCATCAAAATAAAATATATATCTCTTCTCTCTCATAAATTACTGAATTTTTTATGATTTGTAATTCCATTTAAAATTATACATGTGACGTAGATATCTTATGAAAAATGCATATAACAGATTTATTGCGCATATATTAAATATATTTTTTGCTTTAAAATTTAATATTACGTTATGTATTAAATGCCTGTCTGTTTTTAAATGCTTCTTTGATGTTTGAATGTTGGAGAAAGAATTTGAAAGCCTTGTCTCGACTCTTTCTCCTCATCCTATTCTATATTTAATAATCCCGGTATGTAAAGTTTACTCAACATCAATAGAGTAGTCGTAAGTAATACGTTCAAGTATTTACGAACATTGAGAGACATTGAGAGTTAATTCTAATAAATCTTCCGTTCCCCTTTTCCTCGAAATTGGCACTTGTAACATTTTTTTCGGATGCAACAGATTGATACTAGCTTTACAACGCAGCGTCTCGCGATGCGAAATTGTCAAATTTAATATCTTCAAGCGTAAAAAGATCAGTCTGTCGTTCATAAGTGAATCAAAATCTTTTTGATCTTTGGCCTTTCAAAGCGCTCACAGGTACCAGATGTAGTTTTAAAATTCTATCTCTGCGTCGTAGCAAGTTGTCGAAACGAATTATAAAGAAAGCGTAATAAAAATAATATCACAGAACAATCCAGGTTATTACTCGCTTAGATGTGTCTTATTTGTTTGTAGAGAGTTCGTCTTAAATTATACGTTTGCTCAGCACGTTACTGAGAGCGAAAGGAAAAGTCTAGGTCTTCATGTCGGCATGTTTTAATTATAAGAAGTGTCACATCCACGCGTGTAACTTCATTACTTATGTAAGTGTTCCAGTCGTGTTCGCGCGTGCGTGTTTGGTATCTAAATCAATAACGGTAATCTCTTAACATTACAGGTGGTACTGCAAAGCGCTCTCACAACCACGTAATATTTGTCGAACCGCCAAGTCGAGCATTACGAGCGGGCAAAAAGGAGATCGGCAAAGGGGATTGACTTGAAGCGAATAGAAGGATTTTTAAGGGCAATGCGGATTTCAGAGCATCCCTGTGAAACGCGCACGCAAGACTTTTCCTCTCGCATCTGTGCTACGGATTTTACATTTACACATTTTGCCACGCCGTTAAATTATACATATATTTATACAAAGAACATCACAAGTATATAGCGCGTGTCTACACGTCGCTTTCAACGTAATGCGAAAGTTTGGTCGCTCGACGAGACTTCTGTTGCACCACGACACGAAACAGCGTGTGTGTGTATGTGCGTGAGATTACGTACGCGCATCAAGTCACACATAAAACATATGTAAATATACATATTTATACGTGAATCTCTCTCTTTCTGTTTTTCATCTTTTGACTCATTTTGCGCGTATATATTCACGGATAATACACTCCGTTTTCTCTAGGCCGAGACAAAAGACTCTCCCTGTATCAACTTAGATTCTTTCTTATCTCAAATAGGCTTTTTTTTAATATATCTTTTTTTATATTCATCAAATATATACGTAATGGATTAAATATATTCTTCTTCCTTATGTACTATAATATGCGAAACATGCGCGATAAATACTTTCTTCTTGTATGTATGATCTTTCTCTCATCAGTGTTTTCTGTAAAGCGTCATTTCGGGAAGCGGAAATTTCCTGTCTCCCCGTAATTGTGTCATTTCCATTGTGGTTTTTGTAATGTCTTGATATACACTAGAAATATTTCATTTTTACTACGGCTCCCTTTCCTTTTTATCATTTATGTTTCTTTATCTCCTAAATTGCGAAAATGCAGTGTAATATTCAGAGACAAAATCTTTTGTCATTTAACTAAACTTTGTAAGCAAGAAATTGGAATGTATTTGGATTGTACCAGCATTCGAGATTTTATCGCGGTTATTTGTCTACTTTACGATATTGTATTCTTTTTGATTTCGTCTTTTGTCATATTGTGCAAACAATACTTAAGCTTAATTGTATCCAAAAAGCTTATATATATTTATAAAAAATATTTTTAAAAATAATTTCACGAATTCTTCTCGTGAAAAGACTAAAAAATAATCTGCGCTAATTTTTCTCCTTTTACAAGATAATAAAATGTAAAGCGCATCAAAAATTTAAGCAACATAAAACATATTGGAGAGGTGCCTTTTAAGTCGCTAATTATCGAATCATTATCATTTATGAAATTTGAATGTTTGTATACTTTCAATATTCAATAGTCTCTTATCACGAAAAAATATAAACACAGTGTCCATATGTGTAGTGTATATATGTATAGATATATATGTATGTATGTATGTATGTATGTATGTATGTATACATATATCTTCTCATTTATAAATCATTTGTCTGCTCAACATCTTTTTTAAAAATATAATATGAGATATTTAGCTCACGCGTTCTATAAATTAGTTATCTAATCACAATTTTCTAATCGCGATAATTATTTCTTAAAATTCGCGCATTTTGTAATTACCAAGATTTTTTCCCGTTAGAGCCTTATCTCTGGAATTTTATTAGGACTAAATACAAGAGTCCTATTCCATATAATAATAATATAGGAAGTTCAATAAAGTTATCTCGATTGGTACATTAAAATTTTGTCTCTCTCTAACAATGTGCATCGCGGAGAATTAATTAATCGTCTTCAGTCGCGAATCTCAAGCTCATTGTGCACACGACTAATTTGAAAGATTGCGATTTTACTCTGTAAATTTGCGTGCGACAAACATTCATAGGTCTATATATTTCACTAAACGACGGAAAGAGAACATTTACATATACCTATTGCCAATTTTTGGATTTCTCGCTCGAATTCCATATTGCATTGATTTTATATTGCGAGCATTGCAGTTTAAAATTCATCTCCCAATTATATCACGATATCGTGAAGTGAAATCGTAGTGGGAACAATTTAATTACCCAACGTAATTAAATATTCACGATCGTTAATGTAATATTTTTCTTTCAAGTTTTCCTATAGATTGCGTCCCACATATTTAATATTAAATTTTATCTTGTTATTAGAGCAAAAAATCTTTTCGCAAGATCTATCGATCACTATACCATAGTTGAGACTATAGTAGCGTTGCGTAATCGCTATTCTCTTTAACCTGACTCACCAACAGTTTCATTTTCCTAACATACAGTCATAATCCTCACAATAAAATGATGCGTCCATTCACAGATGAAATCCCGTTTTGCTTAATAAAAACCTTCGATCCTTTTTTATCTTGCAAATTTGTAATATATAAAATGTCACGTTTTGAAATTTTTCGAAGCAATCATATACCGGATACATTGCGTCAAAATATAGGTATATCGATAAGCCAATACCAAATCCCAATTTTTCCATTTGATATCGTTATATGTATATACGTGCTATTATCTTATTTCTTCCAGCGATTAAAATTATTTCTTATTTGTTTATGCCGTTATTTATCCCATGAGCCTAATTATGCTATACTTTCATTCGATAATTTGGCAGACTTATGACTAGGCTAAAGGTTTACCGTGCTCGTCCGTTAAGGTTTAGATCCCGGGCTCCGTGCTGGTGAGGATAAAGTTGTTGGACATTGTAGTCGCGTCAAGTTGCATCGTCGTCGAATTCTCGACGCAGTACGGCATTATCTTGCCGTGAAAGCAAGTACCGGCCGAACTACTATTAATTATGATCAGCAGGAGACCGGAGATGGCGGCCAGAATGCCGGCGGTCATCAGACCGAGCGCCGGAAGCTTCTTGGACGAGAGGATGGGCCCCTCCTCGAGCTTGAGGTAGCAGAGACCGGGTAGAACATAGGCGAGCGGCACCGCGGCGAGGATGCCGTTCAACTCGAGGACGACGCCGAGGCAGTCCGTCAACATGGAAATCAGGTACGCTACGGATACTATCGTCAAGGTGATTATCAGGTACTTGCGGTCCGAGTTAGGCACGTAAGCCTCGTGTCCCTCCAATTCGTCTGTGCCCTTGATTGCTGTCATGAGCACCTAAACCATGGCGATCGTAAATCGTAATCATAATAATTGAGTAGATTTTCTGTCTGTGCAGAAGTGTAAGAGGATAAGAGAAGCATTACCTCGCGCGTAACGAAGCACTCGATCGGAAAGGTGAGAAGTATAGTGCCGCTGAACATGACTCTAGCAAAGTTCATCAGATCGTCGTCCCAGCAGTAGTTCTCCATGAGATCGCCCTGAACGAATGAGGTAAAGGTCGCGTAGCCGATGATCCCAAAGGCCGCGGCGATTAAAAAGGATGTGAAGAGAGACCAATGCGTTACTACGTCCCACTTCTGTTGAGTCGCTCTCTCGATCGAGCCGTAAATCAGAAAGGTGTTATGGTGGCACATGAAGGCGAACGCCATTATACCAACGGACGGGACGACACCGGGAAAATTGGCAAATCTCCAACTGTCCTTCTGACTCGGGCTATAATCAATTAGACCTATGATTATACATAGATTTTACAGAAGTTATTGAATTTTTTCCCGTGCACAGGCGAAATTCTCGCTTACACTATGGCGGACATGGTGCTCATCCGGATGAAGATGGCGAGGAGAATGAATCCGACGCAAACCAGGGAGAGGAAGGAGATTTTTGCTAATCGCGCGACATTCCTGTACAAACATAATGGGATAGTGATGCAGAGGGTTGCCACGAGGATAACAACTTGTCGATGAGCGAGAATGTTCGTCTCATTCATCCCCGTCACTCTAATCAAAACCTTCGTGACCGTATCGCCGACGACAACATTATAAGAGACCATGGCTGCAACGTAAAATCATTGATAAAAGATCTTTTGTCATTGACAAAAGAAATACGTACTCGTCAATACGAAGTTCGACATACCTATGAACGGATAGATGAACTGCAATGCCGTGAGAATGTAGAAACCGGCCCGACCGAAACTCGCTCGCATCAGACCCTGGTAGCTCATTTCACCGCAAATGTGTCCACTTCGCACCATAAGAATCAACGAGTAGTCAGTCAACGCCGCTACTAAAATTAGCAGAGCGATCCCGAGACCGAAGCCGGCCTGATGCAGAGCGTATGGTATTCCTGAAAAATTTATCTCTCTTTAGCGATATTAGATCGATATTAGATGATTTAAATCTCACGGATGTCAAGGGGATTTTTTCTTTTTTCTTTTTTTATGATTTTTCATACAGTAACTTGCGGGGTTGCGAAAATACATTTTTTTTTTTCATTTACCAATCACACCGCTGCCGATGATGGAATTGATGAAATTAAAACTCGCGAGCGGCAGGCTGCTAAATTTGCTGGACTTATCCTCCACCTCTTCGTCCTGCAATACATTACAATATTTTATCGCAAGTGTCTTTTGAGGTGATAAGCGCGGGGAGACTGTCGGTGCATTCAAAGTCTCGCGATAATTAGAGTTAATTAGAGCTACGTACGAGTTCGCGCTCATACCCATGAATATACATATACGAGCGTCCGTATATTTTTGATGCTGATGAATATTAATGACATGACGTGCGAGCGAGGGAGCCGTTTTTCGAGATTCCGCCACGTATAATAAAAATAGAAAATCTGGTAGATTAGCTGTCTAAGCTAAACGATCACAGCCAGCGGAATAATTCGAAGCGATACAACGAAGGCAGAGCGGAGGGGCGAGACGATAAAAGAAGCTCAAGTCTCGGCGCAGCTCGAGCAAGGGACGATAGCGCACGTGCGCCAGATCGTAGGCCAACGGCCGTGACAAATTGACAAATTGAACGTCAAAGGAGTGCATCGTCCCGTCGGAACAACATTACGCGGGACCAATCGATAGGCCGATATCAGCGAGGAACGTTACTCGGAACGTTTCTGTCGCGCATCAGCTAATCCGCTTGTTGTTCGTGGCAGATATCTCGCGTACCTCCGTGAAAATAAAAATCCGTAAGGAGAGAGTGAACGGACGCGTGAACGAACTTGAGCAGAACAAAAAGTCACGATGACGTCGAAATAATGTCAAAGTGTCGTCTATCATTTCAAAATGATTGTCATTTCGCCATTTCGCGAAATTCATTTTGATGTCATCGTGACTTTTTGTTCTTCTAGTAAATTGGTTACATCGTAACGAGAAGAATTTTAGAAGTAAACGCTTCTTTTATGTTTCCGACGTTTCAATTTACGCTTCTTGAGAAGATTCGCTCACGCTTCTGTCAGTCTTTCCCGTACGCTATATTTTACGCTCCGGATTTTTATTTTCTCCGGAATAGCTTCGCAAATTAAAACGGACGGGACGAAGCTGCATCCACGATGATTAATCGCTCGATAAATAAAATGGAATGGAAGATGGAAACTGCTGATTTCTATAGTTAACAGGCGTGCAATTCTTACCCTGACCAGTCGTCTCATGTCATCGTAGGACTCTTCCGATGCGATACTGCCTTCCTGTCAAATTTGCAAAAAAATACGTCAGTCAAGCGGCAATCACGTACGATTCTTGGTACCGAGACGTATCCGATTCCTCTTTCGCACACGTATCAAAAGAAAACCCAACGAGTCAACCACGTCTTCCCTCGTCTCCCCACGTCTCCCCACGTCTACCTCTCATCCATCGTTCACACTTTGCCTCGTTCGGCACGTTTGGGGGTGCTGATGCACCCATATGAGTATACCTTATTGGCAGTTCAAGATGAACATGACGTCTCCTCGTCGAGAGAAAGAATCCCGGAGGCATTGATTGAAACGAGCGTACCGAGCGAAATGTCATCGCGGAAATTTCTCACGGTGGATAGAATTGTTAAGAGATCGCGTCTCTCTCTCTCTCTCCTCTCTCTCTCTCTCTCTCTCTCTCTCTCTCTCTCTCTCTCGTCTCTCTCTCTCTCTCTCTCTCTCTCTCTCTCTCTCTCTCTGTCTGTCTTCCGTTCCCCCCCCCCCTTTCAGGACGACGGAAACTTCAATCTTCGAAGATATCGGCACCGCGCTCGCAAGGAGAGAAACTTCATAATTGCATTTGTGTTCCTGTTCGACTCGCGCTGTTCGATTATACGTTTTAGAGAATTGCGAGAGACGCGCGATAAAAACTTTCCTACGCTTAAACCTGCGGATTAAGAGCATACGGAATTAACGAGGCAGCGAAAGTGGCGTGTAGTAACTTTCTCGCGCACTTTTTGTCATCCACCGAAAAGAGATAACAACTGCGATTCTCCGGCGTGTCGTTCGCGAAATTACTTTGCAAATCACGCGATAGGGTTGCGCGATAGCCGCGCGGCGGCTAATCTGCTTGGTAGCATTTGATAGAGAAAGAGAGAGACTCATTTATTTTTCGAATTAGTTTTCCAAGTTAAATGAAAAAATAATAGTACGTAAATTACATAAAAAATATATTTCTTTTATCGTAAAACTGTTATGCATAAATAACCGAGCCTTTGTTATTGTGAAAACATTTGTGAAAACAGTGAATTATTTTTGCTAATCGCGTTAGTTGAAATTGTTATGTTTATCGTGAAAAATTATTTAGGTGTTTCAAACCGTGCTAAAAAAAAACACACAAAAGCTTAAAATAAAAGCTCACACTGTAACCAGTCAATCTTTTGTTACGTGTAAAAAAACAATGATATTGTGATTTATTATAAATGTAGTAGAATGCATAATTTGATAAAGACAATCGCACTCAGATTATAAGATTTCGTTTCAGGTTGGTTGTTTGAAGTCATACACACGGAAAAAATAGATAAATCAGAAATTCCGATTGAAATTATCGTAATATTATTATAAGATTTTTCAATCAACCAGAAGTTTCAATTGTTCAATTAACGAGAAATCTTGTTACTTTAAATGAATTCTGAATTCTGAATTTCAATCGGAATTTCTAATTTATCCCTTTTAAAACAAAATTTTGGTCAACCAAACTATTTTTCCCGTGTACTAAAACTGAATAATCACAATAAAATCCTCCTGTTAAACATAAAACATATTTTAATATTTTTAAATAAAAATTTGAATAAATAATCATAAAATATCATAATAAATCGTAAGGTGTCAGTAAATTACAAGATAACAAAAATCTAAATATAACTTTTATTTTCTTCGCGTAAAAAATCTCAATGAAAGATTAAAAAAAAAATACATAGGAAAGAAAGATAAGAGACATTTTGCTGACATTAAATTATCAGAATATATACCGGCGATAATTTTGTTCGCGGAAATAAAACCGGAATACGGAGAGGTAGTCGATCATCGACATGGTAGACCACATCTTCAATAGAGCGAGATAGAAACAGTTTACTCACATCTTCGAAGTTCTTTCTCGCGTCCAGGATGTAGCTCTTCTCGTCGGACACGGCGTGAACCATCCCGATCACGTTATTCAGGATCCTCTCGTGGAGAAGACGGCCTAACTCTAACGGGAGAAATGATAGTGCGAAAAAAAATGTGTGAAACTTAAAGGGAGGGAACGAGGTTCGCGGGCAGGTCCGTAGACGTCTGAAGTTTTGGCCTATCTTCTACCCCTTCTTCAGCTTTTCGCTTCTCGTCTTTCCCCTCTGACTACCGCTCTTCCTCTCCCTTTCTTACTCTCTCGATCCGCTCATCTTATTCTCTCCCTCCGTTCACGCACGCGCGCACATATATTTTCGCCAATTTCTCTCTCTCTCTCTCTCTCTCTCTCTCTCCCTCTCCACTGAGAGCCTCAATCGCACTCTATCCCATCATCCTCCCTATTTTTCATCCTCTTTTCTTTATCGGTAAACCCGGGATTGGTAGTCTCGCGTTCTCGTCCAACCAATATACACCCACGTATGCGCAACCCCCGTATATTTGAACCCTTCCCGGTATCCCTCTTCTCATTCATATCTCTGCCCACTCCCTGCTTTCTCCTCCGGTTAACCGGTCGTGTTCCATTTCCTCTCTATCTCTCGTGCTTTCCCCTATTATATTGGAGCGCGGGAATGATTGGGAGCTGAGTTTATTGATTTTGTGGCGTACATCTTTCATTTCGTCGAGTTCTAATCCACTGATATTCCATTCTGCGTGCGATTTCGTTCTGCGTCAGTTGCGTAAGATACAGGAGCCGCGCGCGCGCTAGTCTCTGCACTAGATCGTTACGCGGATGTATAATATAGATTCGACATCTCGCTGTTTACAAAAGTGGATCTGAGACGCACAAAAAAAAATCGAATTTTCCGTAGTTTTCGTAATTTCAATATCATTAAACTATTAGCTTTTTAATTTTATAAGTTACCTGCCAATAACATATGTTCGCCATGGGATATTCTTATACGTAAATTTACATGAACGTCCTGACGATATCGTGCGGGTATGATAAAAGATCTTACACGATTAAATCTTATGATAGCTTTCAAAATTATATTTACAATTGTATATTACATTTTCAGGTTCGGATAACAATTTCACATTACAGGAAGTTTCTCGGAAAAGAATCTATCGAGAAACTTTCGCAGAGCTGGTAATTATATTTGTTTGTTACTAGGACTGTGTCAAAGTAATACATAAGAATAACTTCAATCTTTTGTTACATTTTATACTTAATATAGGAACAAAATATTAGCTGCGAACTTGAGTCGCTGCTAATCGTGAATATGAGTGAATCTTTATTCATCTCCAATCAACTTCTCAACCATATCAACTTTTATGAAAAGATAGCTCGTTCACATATAATTATTATCATCATTTACGCAACTTTCCTAACGAGCTTCAATTAGGTCTACAATTTTGATACACAATTTCAGAATCAAACTCTTTTCACAAATTAATTTCGGACATCATACTTATTTAATTTGTTAAATGAAACACAAGCATGCTTTTGTATATTTGATCAATACATTTGATTTAAATATTTTTTCTTGTTAAATCTATTGTTGCAGAGAAGTCAATCTCACATTTAAGCGAGACATAAAATGACTATTTATAATAATTATGTATTAGCGAGGCAATAAATCAAAAATAAGAAACAAATTTTAATCTTCTGCAAATTAATCAAAAATAATGAATATATTTGTATACGCTATATCCTTGATACGTGATCAATTTAACCAAATGACTGAACACATATATATATATAAATAAAATCTGAATATAATTTTTTAAAAACTGATTATATTCGTCGATTGTTGTTCGATTCTCATCTTATCCTCCAAAGTTTCTGTGATTATGTCAAACATATAAATTAGCACATAAAACTTTCTACTGATAGACGATAGTTTAAATAATAAAAACTGCTTATCACACAAAGTACATCTTATATACTGAAATGTAAATGAATGATTTGAATGAATAAAATATGAATCGACTAGATTGCAACTCATTGTTAAGAATACCTTCAAGGTTTTGCAATCGAAAAAACTTCTGTAGCACTCTTAATGTAATATTTGCAATACTTGGGATATCATTCTATGATTTTAATCGCATCGTAAATGAGAAGACATATGATGTACAGAAGACAAAAGATGCTATTGTGAGGAAAAGAACTTAACGGAAGGCGTATCTGTATCAAGTGCGTATTCGAAATTATACTTTTCATCGAAATTCATCGAAAAATTGGAAGTTAATTGTACGATTACCGCATGTTATAGATAGCGAATCCGATAAGGTCAGATCGGAAACTCTTCCGCTAGACGATCACGTATCCACTCATATATCTTTACATATTCTATCGGTAGTAAGTGACGCGGTGCTGATTTGCATTCGTACAAAATTAGATTGGAATCCTAACGTAATTCCATCCGCGTTGCACATCGCCGACCGATCATCGAGATCGTACAACATAAGTACACTTCTCATCGAGATCCTCGAATATATCAGGTCGCAGCATCTCAAGAATGCCTCGATGGATCTTGAGGGTGGGGTACCACAACCCAACCGTTATTTCCGGAAACGGCGGGTCCTATCGTCGGTGCCCCGTTGATCCTCTGATCCTTCATGATCTGCAATTGTCGCTTCAAGTTGCGAAATAGTTTCACCAGGGATTCCTATAAATCATCGATCGCGCTAATTATCAAAGTAGATTTAAAATAAAAATAAATTACAAATTCTCTCAAGAGTTACGTTATTATTGACAAGAATTCATTTGAATTCAATATTCTGGAACTTATACAAAAAGAGAAATCGCTACCTTTTCATCTTCCAGCTTACGTAGCTCTTGCTGCTGTCGGAGACTATCTAGGCTTAGATTCTTCAGCATCTCGTTCTTGTGCTGACTCAATAACGCTATCTCTGTTTGGACCTTGAGGTATTCCTCGGCTATCTGTTTGTGCTCCTCGAAAATCTCTCGCGAAAGTTTGCACGTGTCATCGGGTGTGAGAGGCCTCAGGTCGGCATCCAATAGGCGACAAACGTTGCCCAAATCTTCACTTGTAGTGCTGCTACCTACGGCATTCCAAAATTTATCACAAATGTTGATAATTGCGAAATTATTTGACCTGCAATAATTACATTATTAAGGATATAGGTTTAAATATATATATATATGTAGGCATATTTTCAAAATATTACAAGATTACATATTTGCATCAGCAAATTTCTGCAAGATTACACATTTGCATCAGCAATTTGTTCAGAAGATTCTAGAATCGACATCGAGTCATGTTATCTAACTACCGCGCATTTCTCTTTTATTGGTCATCCAAGAACGCAGTTCTCTTAATCCTAAATACACTGGTTTCGCATAGAGAATTTGATAACGCAGGATCTGGTGTACTAACGCAGTAGGACCCAGCAGCGCTTGAGAGTGTCGGTGCCGACGATCTCCGGGTAGTCGTCGCACATGTCGATCACTTAGCAGCCACGAGCTGCAATTACCTCGACAACGTTAACGTCCACAATTATCCTCCGACAATGCGGTCGAGCCCGTCGGCATAATTCCTTCGGTTCGGTTCCTCGTAATTAGATTTGTGTCCCCGTTCTAGGGAGTAAGGCGGTAACTTCGGAGACAACGTGAGAAGAAAATTGGCGATATCAGAAATTCCACCAAGTTGAATCTTTGTAATGTACCTCGGTGATATCGCTAACAGCTTATTCAGTGGAATGATCCGGGAATGGATGTGTTAAAAGATATATTATTCCCGGTCGGATCGATCGATGTCCTCGATAAAATCGAGCTCGTATTGCGCGCTTGGCGACCTGCAGTCGGTGAGAGATGCTCCTCCGTAGGGAGTCGGCTCTCTACTAAACAAACGTACATCTATATTGGGGATGCTGACTCAGCCACACCTGCTTCTAAATACCCCCCACTTTAACTTCGTCGAGGAACGTCGCGGAGTGTATACGCGAGCCAAGAACAAAACGCGCTTCGTGCTTGATTCATCCTCGAGAGAATCTCATATCTGATTTTTTTTATTCATGTCTTGCTGTCATCTTTGTCATCTTCCTCTTCTCTTATCCTTCTCTATCCCTTTCGCACATTACCTTATCTTCCTTCTCCTTTTTTTTCAACGTTCTTCCGCTATTTTCACAATCGTCTTTCTTCCTCGCGTTTCCCTCACTACTGGCACGATGGTCGTCCTCTTCTTCGTCGTCGCAACGTGCCAATCAAAAGCGAGTCACACGTCCTACCGATTAGTCGTCAGTTAAATTTAGTGCACGCGCACATCGCGGCTGCTATTGCGGCTACACGGGCCCTTTGCCAAGGTACCATCAGCGAACTCCGTCGATCGACGAACCCTCGATGAATATAGCATGTCGAGCTCATAACTTGTCACTTCTCGCTGTCGTCCAATTGACCGCGATTTAATTATTCATACTGTCGTTATATGCAAAAATGTGTAATTTCCCACGAAGAAATATTGTTGTCTTTCACACACAAAGCAGTGTATGTACGTAAAATTTTACAAGCTTTCTGTGTAAAATTTAAAATATTTAAGATTACAACATATTTACACATTACACATACAAATGCACATGCACACATCATACAATATATTTAATCAAGAAAAACGGAAAAATATTAAGCAATCATCCGATCGCATGAGTAATTACGCATCAGATAATAAATACGACGAATCGCATACGTAGAAACGTATTATGAATAACGTGCCTTGGTCAACGCGAGCGAGAAACGAAGACGCGGTCGAAGAAGGCGCCCGGTGACTCAGCGCGCGGTGCTTAGTATATTCTAGGCCGAAAATAATCTACTTCGTGTACCACAAAGCGCTACTCTGTAAGCTCAAAATGCGTGTTCGTGTCAGCTCGCCTGAGGTATTGTGTTCATTAAAATATTTCGCATTATCCAGTATATCAGTTATGTTAATTTCGCTTCTTTTTCATAACTATGCCGAAAAATAAGATGATGCAATCAGGATTATAGGGTAATAGAAAAATATTGTGAATTATTTATATAAAATGTAATTCTTGCCAATATTTCAACTTATTTCATATTTCTAACATTCAAAGATGATGCAATGTGACTCATGCATTGATTGCCACATAAGGCATAAAGCAGATAATTCTTGTGTTAATGTTCCTGGCAATGTGCCTTTAATGCGACAGAGACAAGTCTCGCATAGACAGCCAGTTTGGTGCCACAACCTCCTTGTGATCTTTTTTCGGCATCTGTTCTGAGAAAGGCTCGAGTTGTATTTGAATATAAACTCCATGAAAGTCTCCCTTATTCGCGAATAAATTGAAGCAATTCTATATATTATCATGTTTGTCGACATGTACAAAAAAATGTTGATTAATTAAAATCGAAAAAATACTTTACGCGGGTATATTCAGACAAATATTTTTAGTTTATATGAATATATAAATATAAAAATTCATATCAAAGATATAATACACAATAATAAAATTTAAAATAAATTATACATATTAATTTTTCCATTCAATATATTAGTTTGTCAAATAATTTAATGTTAATTGGTAAGTAGATATTAGATAGAAATTGTGTTTGCATTCTGTATAACCAAATCAAGTTCACGATAATTCACTTACTTTGATTATTTTTCTTCGTTTTATGAATTACTTTGTCCAATCCGGCCATATTATTTGGAATTTCCCAAGATGTGTCAGACGAGCTCGGCAAATCCCAAGCATTCTGTAACAATAATAGCAAGAATAAAAGAGTATTAATTATGTTTAAAAGAGGGACAAATACATTTATGTACTTTGGATATACTTATATTAAAAATACAAGATACCATAAATACCAACCGAATCGCACTCCACGTGCAATGGAGCAAAATTGTAGTTTTTATTTTGCAATGCGGGAACTTTGTTATCGTATGTCGTCGGTACTGTCGCATTTTGCGAAATCGATGATTTAGCAAGATCTAAATTGTCCACACTGCCAAACTGAAAGTTATGCAATACCGGACTTTCACCGGGTATTCGTTGAAATCCTAAATTATTTTGCTGCGGTGAGAATTTTGTTGACCTATTGCTGATCGGAGTTGTATGAGATAATGCAAGGGACGATGAATTCTCTTCATTGAAACATTCATTAGTTTCTCCTACAGACTTTGGAATTGTACGAATAGTGTCGTTCGCGACAGAACCATTCATACGGAAATCTAACGTACTGATTATATCTAGTGTATCTTCCTTCGATGTTTCATTTTCATCTACATCATCACTACCTATAATAAATATATATTATATTTATATACATACAGTAGATGAAACATGTATTATACATACTTAAGGAATATTCAACGGGTTCTAAATGGCGCTTAAAAAATTCCGATAGCTCGGTCATTATCCTTACTACCTCGTCCATGGAAGGTCTTTCTTCAGGTGCTTTACGCCAACATCTGTTGAGAAAAATATAAACGTATAAAATAGATCTTTTAATAATATATATTTTTTTTTCTTAATTGTATGATTTTTAAGCAAATTATCGATTAATAATACAAAATTTGTTAAAAAATAATTTGCATATAACAGATTTAATAAATTAAAACAAGAGATGCCACTAACTACACTTTTTTCTCACCTAGTCATAAGATCTTCAATTGGTTTCGGGCATCCTTCTATTAAAGGAGGCCTTTGTCCTACATGAACAGCCCACATTATTCTATAGGCTGAAGCACCAATATCATCAAAGGGTTTTTTGCGTGTTAAAACCTCCCACAAAATGATACCCCAACTAAATACATCGCACTTCTCTGTATACCTAGATCCTTCAAATACTTCTGGTGCCATCCATGCGGCCGAGCCCTTATTATTTGTCATATATGTGTTTAAGTCACAGGCTGTGCCGAAGTCACAGATTTTAAGCGTTTGTCCACCCATAACTAATAATAAATTGGGTGGTTTCAGGTCTCTATGAGATAAAAATTTATCAAGATTATTTCTTGATACAATTTTTTTAAATGCAAAAAGGTATCATCAGAAGCATGTTGATATTTCCTTTACCTGTGTATCAGTGGTTTTGGTTTCATATTGTGAAGATATGCAACACCACGCGCGCACTGAAGAGTCCAACTCATAGCATGACTGGTAGTGTAATGTGGTTGAGGGTTGCAGTGTAATACTGTGTACATATAAAATCCTAATATAACCTTCAATAATTCAATTGATATAATTAAAAGAAATAATTTTTTACTAAACATTACCATTGTATAACGATCCACCTTCTGCATATTCCATTACTAAACATACAGGATTCTTGGTACATGCACCATACAATTTAACAATATTGGGATGAGCAACTCGGGACAGCTGTCGAACCTCTACAGTAAAGGCTTTTCTCTCTCCTTCCGAATTTATATGTTTCACGGCGACATCCTGCCCTCTCCATTTTCCTTTCCATACAACTCCAAAAGAACCCTTGCCAACTACCTATAATCATATAAAAATCAAAAATAAACGATATAACCTAATGTTTTAATCGCATAGTAAGATATAAAATACATATCAAAACTGAGAGTTAAAAAAATATCTGAGTGTTTTTTAAAGAATAGCAATGACTACAAAGTAGTAGATTAATTTTAACTAATCAATTAATTTAATTAACAATTAATTGATAGATTGTTTCTACTAATATAGAATAATTTTAATCTCTTAATTTACTTTTTATCTTCTTTTAATTCGAAGAATTAGAAAAAGATTATGTGTAAATTAAATCAAAATTAAAATTGATAGATTGATAAATTTTCTTGTTATACAATTATTTCTAAATTTTCTTTCCACACATTAAATGACAAAAAAATTAAAGATTCCATGAAAATGTAATTTCGTGTTAACAGAATAATAGCAATATTACTTAATAAATTAATCATCAATTAATTCAATCGATATCTAGTCAGAGCTCTGCATTCATTGTATATGAATTGTCGGTCTTCCTCCTTCCTTTGAGGTTATCTTGTCGAGATTAAATGCTTCATAGGAACAATAACGACATAAAATGGATTTTAACTGTGATGTTTAAGGATCGAGATGACATTGATTATTATAAGAAACAGTCGACGAGCGTTTACAGGCGAGTACGAGCAGGAGAAAATGCAAAACGTTGATGGAACTACCTGCTCCGTTTCGATTTCATTATAATCGATTTCCTCAACGAACTGCTGCTGATGGCCGGTTATCTCTTTGCTCTTTGCCATCGCACACAGTCGACATCACATTATTTTCAGGGCACATTTAATCAACGAGTGCGAATGCGCGCGCGAGTTGTGTGTGTTTACTCTCAAACTGGCTTCAAACAACCTCGCAGATCGCCATTTCCCGTATTGGGCCGAAGGGCACCACACGGCCGATCTCCGTCGGAACGAGCGAAGCGCCACTGAGCTGAAGTTGCCGCCAAGTGCCGCGGCATTTTGATTGAATGACGCGGCACTGGATGGCGCTTGTGGTACGATTAAAAACTCGCGATGTTCTCCAATTATTATGGTAGCAATTTATATTTGTAGTATGCAGGAATGAGTTGTTCTCTCAATCTACGTATATACATTATTATTATTAAATAAAAAAATTATTATTGAAGAACAAAGAATCTCACGATGAAATTTGCATGAACGCATGATGTCCAGAGGAGGAGGTGAGGCACATACAAATTTTATATGCATTGTTCCTTAAAGATTTGTTACGCGGATGCAAGACCGAAGAAGTCTGACGTGACAAGAATATTCGGAACATGAATATTCAAAAACATGTTTTATATTTGTATCTAAAGAGCTGCAAATTACGGATTACATACAAATCTTATTTTTTCGAATTCAAATTGAATCAACTCAAATTAAATTGAATTGAATCATCGAAATATAATTTTCAATCAACACAATTATCGTGCAATTGAATTCAGCATAAATGTAATGATAAATGAAATATAATTTATAAATTTTATAAAATAGCCAATATATTTGATTCGCATTTGCATCGAATTAAATTTCACTCCATTTCCTTTGATTCGATTTGAATTCAAACAGTTCGTACATTTTTATTTTAAATATGACACGTATAAAATTTTGGATATTTTTCATTAATGAAATATAATCTCGTTATTAAAAGTTGAAAAGCAAACGCAAGTCATTAAATGTATCTTATTTCATTTATGTGATTATTTAATTACATGAAGTATAAGAAACATAAGTTTTGTTAAGTAAAGAGTATATATTTGTTATTTTTGTACGTTCGTATTAAAAAATATATATTTTGCAAATACGACATAAAAATATATATTTTGCAACATAAGCGCTTTACGTATGTATGTATGTATGTATTTATTATGTATGTATTTATTATTCCATTTTTATTATGTTTCTCTCCCTCTTTCTCTTTCTCTCCGTACGCAAGATACACTTTTGTTATCCGATACAATTTTTGCAACATCTCTCCTTTTATACTTGACGTATATCAAGATGTGGGAACATAAATTGATGAGAGATCGTAATCCCGTGTCGTCACGACACGGCGCGATGAAACAGTACGTTCGCGGAACATCCGCATTATTCGTAATGCATAATTCCGAATGTGTACAGATACGTTTTCTACGCCACGCGAATACATCCGCATGCGAATGTGGCAACGCGCGCGCGCGCAAGTTATAGGAGGAAAGCGAGAAGGAAACGGGGCTCCTTACGGCCGAACTAAACTAAGCTTAACTCGCACGCGCGTGTAATTGCGAGTTAGGGATATGGCGGTTGTTCGTATCGGGCTAGATATACGCCTGGCCTTTACGCTGACCCAGTGCTTTCACCGGTAGCGTCTTCGTCTCTTCGACTTGCTTCTCGCGTCCCTCGTCCCCATAGCCCTCAACCACGAGTTTGTCCCTCCCGGTCACCTACTTAGCGTGCTAGTCATGACGTAACGTACGAAAGGACGTTTACGAATAATGCCAAATTTCCTCGTGCGAGTATTTTCCTCTGACGATCGTTTCCTTTGAGAGAAGAATTCTCCCTTTGCTCTAGAATTATTTGTACTCCGGAAACTAACTTGTTGATCGAATTTTGCAAATTTGAAATATAATTTTAGATAGAATAAATAAATTATTTATATTATACGTATGTATCGACATTCACTTCTTAAAACAAATGATTCTAAACATCTAGAATTTTCATATCGTATCGATTACGCTATTAACGCTATTAAGTCACCTAAGCTTTTTATGATCATCTGGGACATTTTATATTGTAGCAACTACTACCGAGCATCACAATATACGATTCAATTAAAAATTACTGTTATTAATATTTAATTTATTAATATTTAAGAAAATTATAAACACAGATTTGTTTATTATTTTATGAAGAAAGAAAAAAATATTAAACCAACTGAATAAGCATATTAGACACGGGACTTAATTTTTTTGCTAGATTGTAAGGATTACCGTAACTATTTCCGGGTTAGTAACATGAAGATTTAATGGAAAGAAATTACAATAATTAACGTCTGTCTGAATATTTAAAAGTAGAACGGGGAATTAAAAGGTATGCCGCGTCGTAAATGAGAGCAAGGAGGAGCGCACCGGAGTATAGCGGATTACGCCAAAGTTACATTAGGGTTTGTTAGATTACGGAGATAGATTAGACCGATGTGCGAGTCTGAGAAAGTCATAATATACGTATCTCTGCCGCACATGGACGGATTTCATACGCCTGCTCTTTGACGTTACTCATTATCTCTCGCAATATTCCGTTTACTAACGCAACTCCGCAACTCTCCAGATCAATTACGAAACCGAATTATCTCGAAAGGCTCGCGATCAATTAATGAGATATCGAGCGAGGAGCCGATAATAATAAAAAAATAAGAAAAAAAGAACACACGATATGTACTTTAGCGGTGCGGCATTTGTTGTGGTGCAACAGTTGGCTATTTGTTATTACATGATTACGTTATTCACGGATGATCACTCTGTCTACGCGAGATCAGCGGCACCTTAATTACCATCATTTCTCATTATGATCGTTATGATTCGTCATGACAGTGATGATCAGATCGATCAGAAGTCAGATACGAATTTCAAGGATCGTACAACCAATGATCGCTTAATTAATCGCCGTCACGAGAGTTGACGCGCTTAAAAATATTTTATCAACGAGGGAGACGAAGACGAGACGAAAGTTGACGGAGAAAAAGTATGCATGAATTTTGCATATATTTCGCCAATACGATCGGTGTCACGTGAGTGCCAGTGAGGAGAATATATGTGTATATCTCTTTCTCCGCAAAATACATAAATATTCTGTATTTCATCGGTGAATGGCATATATATATATATATATTTTGTATACGTAAAATGCAGGCTGACGTAACGTGCATTTCGACGTGCGACCATGTCAGTGTAATCGCGATAATTTGCCACGTTATTGCTGAAGTTATATCTCCGGTCCGATCTTAACGTTGTGTCTCGTGGCGAACATCGCGAAAATAGACGAACCGTACCGTACCGTGCCGTGTACGTACTAATCTCTCGGCACCTTTCACCGCGCGCGGTCATCACGGTCCATCATATTCGGAGGGATTGTGTAGCGCGGCTCCAGCCGAGCGCTCGCGAATCGCGGGATCTTTTAACATTACCCTCGTCGGGTTTCGTGAGAGCTCTCGCTGCTTAAAAGCCGCATGATCCACAATATCGTGTCCACGGCGCTCCACGTCGCTTGGCACGTAGGAGCCCGGCGTTAAACAGTGCCCCGGTCTTACGTAAGGAATACACGCGGGAAAAGCCACGGTTCCCCCATGCAAACGTGGCATAATCGACTTTTTTTTCTTACCGGTGCCACAAACTACGCCGAGGAAATTACGATCGTAACGCCGCCACGTAAACGTGCGCAGCTGGCAATTCTGTTTTTCTACATTCCCCGCGAAGCGACGAGAGGCTTCCAGTGGAATCTCGGACACACGTAGCTCTCGATTAACCGAGATCGACCGATTGCTTGTTAGCGGCTATTACCGGGAACCCCGCGAGGGGGATTATTACAAATAATCTGAGTTATTTATTATCCCGAGACCGACAATCGATGCGTGAAAAAAAAAATTCTAAGACTGTTTGAGTCATGGCGAGTGGAAAGGCTTAGAAATATTTTCAAATATTTCGATCGTTCGATCGCAACATAAATTTCGAGGCATTTCGAGCGTATATTCCATAGCAATACCATCTCGACAATCTCGCGGCAGATAATGATACCACTATTAGGAGTACCGGGAAGATCCCCGATTCATCGCGGACGTTTCCGCAAAGATAAAATTGTGCGATCACGTGGAACGCTATCGGAAAACTTGAGACAGTGAAAGTGATCCCTCGACCTCGGCGAATGCACCACCGATGTTCTAATAAATTAGATGCACGCCGATCACGCATTCATTCTCAAACTCATGGGATGAGATCCGCAGGAAGAAATCTTTCACATCAAAATTTCTTCCGTGTACTTATATTGTTATTAAAACTCGTTCTTCCTAAAGTATAAAACTTCCTAACAGTATAAAAAATTATGCCAATTGGAAATAGAAATATATAATATAAAATTGAATTTTTTCGCGTTACTCCGATATCTATAAAAGTATAAAAGTAAAGAAAATTTAATGGAAGACAACTTGGCACTGTTTTATGCAACAATTTTCAAATAATATATTTTAATTAGCTATTAGCTAATATGTATCTGATTTGTTAAATTATCGTTGATAATAATTTCTTTTGTTCTAGTGGACATGTTATTTTTTTAGGGATATATAAAATTATATATATATAAATAGTTTGCAACTATTTTTACATACTGCATTGCATCTTAATTAATTTGAGAAAATATGAACGATAACTCTCATCATTATAGCAGTTAAGACATTATACCTTTGATCTATCACTTGATGAAATATACAGATATATCATTTGTCTATGAGAGTTACTCGTGGGAGGTTTTTAACATTCTTCGTGAATAATTGATTGCGAGTACACATTGGCCTTATGTCTTCGATTGAAATTGCAATATAAATTGCAATATGAATATCTACATGTGATAGCATAATGATATTAAATACGTCATTATACGTAACGCATTAGAATAAATGTCATGCCCTAATTTTCAAGCATGACTGCGATTTATTATCGTGCGATTATCTTTTGTTATTAAGTGCGATTCATTTTTACGGAATTGGCAACTCGGATGTTGGCAGCGAATTCCATTCTTAAAGTCAATTGTTCAATATCAAATAATTGATTACACCTTAATCTCCAATTTTGATGGCCGCAGCACATCGTGTGTTACCGTGATGAAGAAGCTAAAGATTCAAGGACCGCACTTGGTCGATCTAGAAAATGTATTTGTCATAGCATCCG